ATGATTATATTAATTCAAAATTAAATTCCATTTTTAATGATATTAATAAGGATTTAAAAAACCATATTAAGAAAACTAATAATTTGGTTAATGCTATTAGTCTATCCAAAAATTATTTAAGTATTAATTCTAGAAGGATTGTTAATGTAAAACCAAGCATTAACGACTATGATGTTGTCATAAAATCTGAGTTAAATGAAGTTTTAAATTCTATTATTAAGGTTGGTAATGATCATTCAAAAACTAAACAGGATTTAAATGAATTGGTTAATTCATTATTTAATCTAAAAATGTATGTTGAAGATTTAGAAAAACAACTTGAAGATAAACTTGCTGAAAAATAAGATTAGTAACTGCTGGATTAGCACAAATATTAGAAGATAAACTTAATACAGAAAACCAAGAAGATCAATAATTTTTACTATATAAATGGAGTTTATTTACTGTCTTAAATGTAAACAAAAAACCAATTCTAAAGACATTCAAACAATAAAATTAAAAAATAAAAATATGGTTAAAGCAAAATGTTGTATATGTAATTCAAAGAAAAGTAGTTTTACAAAAATTTCCTCCTAATAAATGGCTCTATATAATTCATTTGATTATTTCATTATCAGAAACCAATTTCTATTAACCAATGAAGATTGGAATATTATTTCAGAAAAATATGAATTGAATGATGAGATGATTAGATTGTTTCAAAATAAATTGAATTGGGAAAAAATTGCTAAATATCAAATTTTGAATGAAAAGATTATTACTGAATACATAAATTATCAGTTAAAAGATCATATTGATTTGATTTGTAAATACCAAACATTATCTCAAAACTTTATTGAAGAATACAAATATATGTTGGATTGGGAATTACTTATTGAAAACCAAAACTTATCTGCTAAATTTATTGTTGATAATGTTAAAGAAATTCAATATTTTAAAGATAAAAATGATTATGATACTGTTGATTAAACATTTTTCAGTTGATTAAATAGATTTCAGTTGATTAAAATTCAAAATTAATAAAATTTTACTTGTTTTAAAAAACCTTTTTCTTTCCATATTTTTTCATAAATTTTTCCTTAATAAATGGCTAATACTTATGAAATTGAAAGAGCTGAATATAAAAATTTTTATCCTTTATCTAAACTACATTTGAATGAACCAAACAAAAAAACTGAATTTAATATTGATTTTGGTGATGGATTTTGTTCATCTAAGTTTCAATTTTATATTTCAGGATCATTAAAAAAATCTGATGATAAAGACTATAGTGCTACAGATAATGTAAAGTTGATTAATAATTTTATACCATTCTTATTTTCAAAAATTGAAATTAGAAAACATAATAAATTAATTGGGGAAATTGAATATCCTGGACAATTGAGTACAATAAAAGGTACTGTTACTTATTCAAAAACAGAAGCAGTATCCAACATTTGTAATGGATTTCAATCAGATTTCAAAAAAACATTTGAAGCTGTGGGTAATCTATCACATTTTGGATTAGGTTTCTTTGAAAATGTTAATGTTCCAATATACAAAGGAGGATTCAATATATGTTTTGTTAGATCTGAAGATAATGATGCTATTTTTAGATGGAAAACTAAAAAAGTTGATGGAACTTTTGATGATACTACATTACCAGGTGCTGGAAAAGTAATTATTGATGACTTTTTTATTAGAGTTCCAATAATTGAGTATAAAACTACAAGTAAAATTCAATATATTAATGAAATAACTAAAAAAGAAAAAATACTATTTCACTTTAATCATTGGCAATGTATTGAACAAAAGACAATAACTGGAAAAACAGTTAGGTTTTGATATAACAAATATTTATCGAAACATCTATAATCCAAAATTTATAATAATTGGTTTTCAAAAAGGTAGAACTAATGATCAATTATATGACACTTCAAAATTTGATAGTATGTATATTAAAAATATTAGAGTAAAATTAAATGGTCACTATTATCCTGATGAATTAATAAATCTAGATATAAATAATGGAAAATTTAGAATTGTATATCAAATGTATCAAGATTATAAAAAGGTTTATTATAACAATAGTGAAATGTATTATGATCCAACAGAATTCATTGAAAATAGACCATTGTATGTGATTGATACTACAAAAACTACTGTAAATATTTCAGGATCGAAAAATGATATAATAATAAATATGGATTTTGATTATGATATAACTGTTGCTAGTAAAACTAATTGCTATGTAGTTGTTGTATCTGAAAAACTATTAGAGTATAATGTGATTAAAAATGATATTACTGAAATAAAATAAAATTATTATAGAATCATCATTTATTTACTACTTTTTGACATATTTTTCAAAATATTATTATATTTTATGAATAATGAGACTACTATTGTTAATTTAAAATTTGTTTCATAAAAAAATATTAATAAATAAAAATTTTTGATTTTCAAGGTCACAAGAAATAAATATTTTAAATTTTATTATTTAATAAATTTGTACTTACCTTATAGATATATCATACCAAATTTCATGAAAATATCTTTAAAAACAAAGAAGTTATTAAGGTTTTTAGTTTAAGGGTAGTTCACCCTAAATTGGAAAATTTTAGTAAAAACATTGATTTTAAACATAATTTTTCATAATTTTTAAGTCTTAGAATTATTCAATAATTTTTTACATTTTTATAAATAAAATACAAAATAAGGGATGAAACTACCCTTAACATAAGTCAAAAACATTCTTTAATATTCAATGAGTGTATGTTTCAAATTTGGTTAAGATTGGTTTAAAAACACTCAAGTTATAACATACAATATATTTCAAATAATTTCATTCGATACTAACAATCGAATAATAAGTTGAAACATTCGATATTAGCAGTTAAATTACTGAATAGGAATTCAAAAATAACTCACACAAACATAAACAAATAATATTTACTGAACATTTCAGATTTATCAAAGCGTGCATTCAATGCACGCTTTCGTTGAACATCATTTGGTTTGGCAAAAAAAAAACTACCAAATAAAACAGCACAGTCACTTAAATTTTTCTACACAAAATATTTACTGTACAATTCAGATTTATCAAAGCGTGCTTTAGAAGCACACTGTCCTTGAATATCATATGGTTTGGCAAAAAACTATCAAACAAAGCAGCAATCACTTGACCTTGAAAATTCTGATTGTTTTATAAACAAGTTATGATTACAAACAATAAAAATAGTCTATAAATAGTTCAATAAATCACTTTTACTTATTAAAATATTAGTTAAAAACACTTGAACAATCCAAATATGGTGATGAACACTTCAAACACATTTCACTTCACAACACGATAGTTTCACAATTTTCATAGTTAATCTTCTTTATACTTCATCTTCAATCAATAAATAATAAACTTTTACCATCAATAAACTCTTATTTTAAATATTTCTTCATAAAACAAAATGAGAATATACATAGAAAATCAGCCAGTCGACAGAGCCACACCCATTATGATAGCTAATGACGAGATTTTTGCTAACTTGACACTTTTTTTGGTTCAATCGGCTAGTTTCATTAGCTAACTATTTAACCATTGATTATACATTTTAAGCATTAATTATAAAATACTTTTCGATTAGTTTAGATAAATCAAAATAATTATTTTAATCCACACTGCAATTTACTAACATTCAACTGGTTATTATTTTATTCAATCACTTATTTTCATAAAAAGATCAACCAAACAAATTAGGCCATAGACTAATATTCCTTCAATAACATTATATTTACAACGCAATTTGTTTTTGTTGATTTTTACATTATCTTTAATCGTACAGAAATGTATAATATATGAAATAGCATTAATTTTTAACAAGCTTTTCATTGGTGATATTTATTTTCAATTTAAATCAATACTTATCTTTTTATCTTAAGATTATCATTTTTGATAACATTTCTTTTAAGTTTAAAATTATTTAAAATAAAATATGGACTTGTAATACATCAAATATCATTAGAATTTTCAGAGAAATTCAATACTTTTGATAGATTTTAACTAACTCAAATAGGAAAAATATTATTTACAAAAAACAATAATTTAAATAAAATATTTAGAATATTTGAATAAAAATTTTTAAAATTTTACTTGTTTTTAAAAACATTTTGTTTTGTAGTCAATTTTATGTAAAATATAGACATATTCATGAAAATTTCATCAAAATTATATACTTTTTCTAGAAAAATATGAATATGTTAGAAATTGACCTAAAAGGGTAAAAAATATAGCATATTGTATAAAAAATAGGAAAATTCATTTAATTTTTGAGTGGCTCCTTTTTTGGCCCAGAAGTGACATGAATATATCTACTCTCGTATATATATATATATATATATATATATATATATACTGATTACTTTTATGGCGGTTTGTGCCAAGCACTTTTGAAAACAGCATTAGGAAGGAAAATGGACTTCTTAATATTAGTACAATGAAATCACCTTAAACAAACATTAATATTTTAAGTAAAAACTATTGAACCACAGTATTACCTACAAACAACAAATATTTTATTACCAGCACAAATATTGAAAAATAGGAGATCATCCGGCGTAACATATTTATTTCAATAAAAGATAAGGTTAGAGAATAGATATTGTCTAATTTACTTGAGAGTCCAATGATTTTATAAATAATATTTTTTTAAGTTTCTTTATTCTTTCATCAATGATGGAGAATCATTAATTGTTGTGATGATTGTAACCTGATGATTGCAGGGAGATTACATTGAGCTGACTCTGGGTTCAATAATGACTTTGTCCACGATGGCTGCAGCTGCTCTGGGAAACACCTTCTCTGATGTGTTGGGCCTCGGTTGTGCCAGTTATGTTGAGGCTGTGGCAGCTAAAATAGGAGTTCAAGCACCTTCCCTTAATCCCATTCAGCTGGACATGAAGTCTTCCCGGTATTGTGCCAATATTGTAAGTAAAGATGTATTGTAATGTTTGGATGTTTTACTCAGGGGGACTACATCGAACTGATGCTCGGATCGTTCATGGTCATTTCTACCATGGCTGCTGCGGCACTAGGTAACACCATGGGGGATGTTTTAGGCCTATGTTGTGCTGGAACAGTCGAGTCACTTGCTACCAAAATTGGTGTCAAAGCTCCACAACTTTCCCCTATCCAGCTGAATATGAAATCTTCTCGGCTAGTATCTAATGTTGTAAGTTGGAAACTAATGCTGTTAATGCTTTCTCAAGTGCTGTCTAGTGTCTGTTGATGTGCTTTGCGGGACCGAGTAGATTGTTGAGTAGTTTAGTTAAGTTTTGCACTGTTAAACCTTTTGCTACCCATGCAAATACATGTATTAGCAATAGATTAGTGCTAGATCCCCTTCGCTCCCCTCATAACCCTAGATGTTTAGTGATCGATTTCTCTCCAAAAACATTAATAAAGCCCTCTCACCTATTTTTGGACTGTTCAGGATTCTCATTCCTTTATGTATGTTCCTTATATTGATTTAACACCATTTCATTGGACTAGTCATCTGAAGAATCACTTGAAGGTGCCAAAACATTTATGTTGGACATTTGCATGAACTTGTTTTAAAACACTTACAATTTTATAGCTGGAAAGTAGGAAACTTCATTAGTGTTTATCAATATGTTTTATTCATAAATGTTGTTTCACTGTAACTTAAAATAACAAGAATATAACTGTAGAATAGATGTTATATATAATAGACTAGAGCATACAGGGGTGAATTAGAAAGTTCTGCTTTTCTAAAATCGTTGTACCAAAAGCCCATAATTCCTCAATTTCTCAAATAAATCTAGGATTATTTTTTAACTCTAACTTTTAGTGAATTTCCCATTTAGGGAATAAGTTATTACATATTACAGGTATGGTAAGACCTAGACCCCAGCCGATTTATATTTCGTTTTGAGGTCCCTAGAGGCCAAAAATTCCCTCCGTTCAAATTCATATATGGTATATATATATTTTAATTTAGGTGTTCACGTAATAGGGCTACTGATATATTAAATTATAAGCACCCTGAATATATAAAAATATATATATATAGTATTCAGGGTGCTCAGTTGTACTTTATTTACTACTATAATTTTATATATATACTAGCTGTACCCGCGGGCTTTGCCCCGTTTAACATCATATTCGTATTTGCATGCCTCAATCACGTCCTGGTTGAAGTTCGTTCGCTACGCTCACTCACCTTTCGGTTGGAGCTCGTTCGCTGCGCTCACTTGCCTTCAGATTAAAGTTTGTTCGCTACGCTCACTCACCTTTTGTTTGCAAATTAGCTGTTGTTATAAATTTTAAAAAAATATATAGTGCTGCACCCTGTTTGTAATCCTTGTAACTTTAAAGCTATTGAACATCATAGAACAGAACCAACTTGTTTAATTGAAACAGCTGTTAAGATTCATTAATTCCTTTTAAATATGAAAAATCATAAGGTTAACATGAGAAACTCCAGAGCCACTGAAGCGGAGCCCGAGAGTCCGATCAGAATAAAAACTACTTAGTTTTCCTATTTAATGCCCAAAGAATCAGTGTACCGAATTTCAGCCTCCTAGGTAAATAGGAAGTGGGAGAATTAGTGATGAGTGAGTGAGTCAGTCAGTGAGTCAGTGAGGGCTTTGCCTTTTATATATATATATATATACACATATATATATATATATATATATTTATATATATTTATATTTATATATATTTATATACAGGGTGTTCATTTGAAAACTTTCCATATCTGTTGTGTACAAAGATAAGGCTTTTAACACTTATTCGTTCTCATTTCCCCCTAATTTGGACAAGCCGAATCCAATAAAATTATTTTCAATTTTGAAAAATGTCCCAATTTGGAGGGTAGGGGTGTTTAATAGACAAAAGTAGCCTATCTTTATTACTGAACTCAATCTGTGTACAACTTCAAATGTAAACAATAACAATAATAACATAATATGACATATGATTATACACAGATAAAGGAATACTTTTAACCAAACATGCCCCTTTTCACAAATCTAATTTTTTTGGAGCTTTGACTATCCTGGTTCTGGTACGTTCAATGAAGGGTCGAATATACCACGAATTACGACGCAACTTTCTCCCATTTACTTCAACAATGTATGATCTGTTTCCCAGCACATCAACTATTATACCTTCTTCCCACTGAAGGTTGGAAACATTCCTGATTAATATTTTTTGTCCCTTCATGAAAACACTGGCTTTATTTAGTGCTGTTTTATTATACTGCATACCCTGGCCAAGTTTGCTTGTCACTTCTTTATCATCAATAATCCGTGGTTTAAGTTTTGATGGTATTACAGGTAGCTTAGTGTTCAGAACTCTACTTTGAAGTAGTTGCGAAGGAGAATACCTCAGATTCGCAACTGGAGATGACCGATAATTTAGAAGATATAAACTGAAGTCTGTTTTCTCATGCTTTGACTTTTGCAACATTGACTTAACTATGCCTACTGCTTTTTCCGCGAGTCCATTACTGCGAGGATAATGGGGACTAGTAAACTTTACTTCAAACTTCCACAATTTACTGAAGTCAATGAATTCTTGAGAGTTAAATGGGACATTGTCACTTACAAAAATACTTGGTATTCCAAAACGAGCAATAATTGGCTTCAATGCAGTAATGACAGTAGTTGCTTTTTTATCTCGAATACGCTCAACTTCAATCCATCTTGAGTAATAATCTATTAACACTAAATAACTTTGATCGTCGAAATCGGCTATGTCTGCAGCTACCTTGTAAAAAGGCATGTCAAAAACTTCATGAGGTTGAAGTGACTCTTTCAATTTTGCTCGCATAAACTTAGCGCAAGTAGCACAGCTGTCAATAAGATTTTTCAAATCTGAAACTAATCCAGGCCAGTAAACAAGTTCTTGAGCTTTCTTCTTTAACTTGTTGAATCCCAAGTGAGTTTCATGGAGTGTCTGTAAAGTATATCTTCGCATAGATGGTGGCACTATCAACCTTTCGTTAAAATACACTAGTCCATCTTGAACTGTTAGGTCATTTCGTATTCTAAAATAATGCATTAGTTCATGGTTATTCGGCAAAACTTTGCTGGGCCATCCTTCTTGATAAAACTGCATAACTTTGTATAAGGATTCGTCTTCATTTGTAGATTTTATGTACTGATCCATTGTAATTATGTTTCTTGATACCAAAGAATCCAGCTTCTGCTTAAGACGATCCATTAATTTGTTAGGTATTCTACGGGCAGGTGAACTTCTTGGAACAGCCCCTTCCTTAAGTTTCAGTTTCAGTACTTCAGGAAAACAACCTTGGTTTACAAATACATCTTTATTCTCTTCAACCAGCGTTTGTACGTCGGGTATTTTGCTTACTGCATCAATAGATATTCTCTTGATGAGGCCCATTGCAATAGATGAATTAAGTCCTATTATTGGTGTCGCCTTTTCAGAATCAACCACAATAAATGTGATGTTGTACAATTTAGAAGCCACTGTAACTGGCAGTGTTACTTCCCCCACTGTGATTATCTTGAACCCACAAAAAGCCTTAAGCTTGGTTGTTGAACCTCAAAGCACTTAGGTAGAGATAAGCTATCAAGATCTTTGGTGGAAAGAATATTAACATCTGCACCAGTGTCAATCTTAAATACGATCTTCTTTGCATTTACAATTAATGTTACTGTCCAGTGACTTGCTTTGATCCTGTTAACATTGACTATAGCCCCCACTTCATCGTTAAGCTTCCACTTTGACTGTGTTTCATCAATTCGAGCAGTTGATTCTAATTCATGGCCATTGAAAATTTTTGTCTTGCATACTTTAGCAAAGTGATTGGGTTTTAGACATTTTAAGCATACTTTATTTTGTGCAGGGCAAGGTTGGCCTTTGTGAAAATATCCACATCTTGAACATCTTGCACCCTCATTATCATAAGCTCTAGGCCTGATCATTGAGGAATAACCATTTGTAGCTTGGCTGTAATTTTGCTTATTCGTCTGTGGTTTTTGAGTCTTGTTAGTAACGTCATCAATATAGGTTGGCTGATCATTTTTCATCAATTGCTTCAAGTTTTCTTCTGTTGTTTCTACGCATCTGCAGTAATCAATTACTTTTTCTAGAGGAACATTGTCTCTTAGAAGGCGTTCTTTAACGCTTGCAGAGGAAATTCCAAATATGATTTGGGACCGTAGGAGTTTATCTTCTTGATCCTTAAATTCGCAAGGGCTTACAAGTGACTTTAAATCAATCAAATATTTATCAAAACTTTCCCCATCTCTCTGTTTACGAGTTAAGAAACGATGTATTGCCATAGTCTCATTCTTTTTAGGAATACAGTGTTTTTCCAAAGTGTTTAAGATACTTAAGACTGTTTCATCCTCATTTTCTGCATCTCTCTTCAGTGTGTTGTAAAGCTTTAAAGCTTCAGCCCCTAAAAGGTTCTTCAATCTTGCAACTTGTACTTTGTTTGACTTTTTGTCTGTTTCAGTTGCTTCAAAGTATATTAATATTTCTTCTTTAAACTTCTTATAATTGGTGGCAATATTACCATTAACAACATTCAACTCTTCAGGTTTATTAAAATCCATTTTGATCTTTCTTTTCTTTTTGAATTCCCTTATTTACTTTATTATTCTTGACTGCGCCATGTTTAATAGACAAAAGTATCTTTATTACTGAACTCAATCTGTGTACAACTTCAAATGTAAACAATAACAATAATAACATAATATGACATATGATTATACACAGATAAAGGAATACTTTTAACCAAACAAGGGGTACTTTTTGTTTTTGAGAAATTTTCAAATGTAAACATGGGTTGTGTGATACATCAATTTAAAGTTCTACTCACCCCAATCGTTTTGATGCAAAATCATTTTATTATCTTTAACCGTATTTACAGGGTGGGTCAAAACGTTTTAAAAAAGGACTTTGAAGTTAAGTACCATATTACCTTAACTACTGAACGGAACAGCGCCAATTTTTTTTTTCAAGCTTATTCTTGAGCTACTCTTTAAAATAACTTGTAGTAAGGGCATTTTCCGTGTTGTTTTCCAATTTTCTCAAATTTAAGAATAAAAGAAAGCTGAAAACTCTAAATTCTTAAATAGCAAGGTATAACAAATTTCATATCACGTGGAAGGTCTTTTTTAAACAAACATTTTATGTTTTAAGTTTTATTTCTACCTCTTACCGTTTAAA